ATAGATGGCGGAATAACCTCTTGTTTACGTCAGACCGGAGAAGTGCAGCAGTCAGAGATCCGAAAAGTCTGGGTGACGTTTAAAGCAAATACTCTCTCTAGAATGCGGGGGCCCATGATAGACAATATCAGTTCTAAGAAAATTCAGCGTTTAATTCTGATTGTTTATTAAAAAACTCAATTACATTAAAAAAAACTTAATTATTTAAGATTTCCATTTAATCGTTTAATAAACAATTAAATGGAAATATGTTTCAAACAATATTAAAGAAATTGTTAATTGAAAATGTTTTTTTGAGTTTTTTTAATAAAATTTATGTTAGTAAGTAGAAAATTCTAAATTTATTTTCTTTAGTAAGTAGTAAATTCTAAATTTATTTTCTTTAGTAAGTAGTAAATTCTAAATTTATTTTCTTTCTAGTTGCATATTCGACATGGGTAGACTGTTGAAGCTAAAACTATGTTTTTGTACTAAGATCATATTGTACACAGTTATGCAATAAATATATCTTCATCTTTGTGATGTTGTAACTACTTCTTGACTGTATAACTAGGTAGGTATGTAAACAAATTCAAAACAAGTTACGACCGACAAAACGACACGCACAGGTTCGTGGATCCCGCCGCGCGTTCCGATTCAACCACAGATAACTAATAACAGGCTCCGATTCACGCCAAAATCGCTGATAGCCTTCGGCTCACATTCCCGTTCCGAATCACCCGTTCTCTGATGGGAGCGAATTTTAAAATGGTGTACAATTTTGCAACTTCAGATGGGCCAATCACAAAGGCCCGGCGGGTCGCAGGCTGAGTATAGCTACTTTAGAAGTTTCATGGACATAAATAAATTCGCGATGCCATCATACCATCTAGATGCTTCGCGGTCCACCACCGTTATTTACCAAAAGTTTTATATCACCAGCCATGAGCACACAGCCAGCTGCCAACAGCCAACTATGGTGCGGAAATCAGCAACCTGCTGCCTTCGGAATTCCAGAAATAATGTTCACGTTAGGTACATCCCCTTTCAAAATTTCTGACCACAGTCCGGTGAAATTTGTATCGTTATATTCCCAACCTAGTTGCAATTTCCAAGGTGTGCAGCGAATCTGGAAATGCAAGTCAGCAAGTTGAAATGAGATGCGGCATTTCTTTGCACGTTATACTTGGCGGTAAGTTTGCTTCTCGTCTTAAGTACCGTTGAGTAGTGTAGATGGTATTTTCGATCTGCTACTTCAAGCGATGTGTTATTTCATTCATCCCTTGTTGTCGTACCTAAAGGTAAAAGCTCGTTTGTTCAAAGTCTAACCATATATAGCTGTACCGAAACTTCACGAACTGTTAGAGACCATGAATGATCTAGGCTATATTAAAATTGAAACGATATAAGCGACATTAAAACTACAAATAAAATATACATAATAAAATAAAGGAAAGAAATAAAATAATGCAATAAATTTCACAATATTTTTTATTAAAACTTTCTCCTTATAAATCCATCGATTGCTAACATAATATAGAATAGAACGTACATAGAAGCCATGTCTCAATGTGTGGTATACATAAATACATACAATGTTCATTATAATGACAGCTAACAACCGTACATTGTACTGATCTCACAACAAACACTCATGCAACAAACCTATGTGACAGGCCGTTATGTTGTTGAACTATTGTTTAGCATAATGGACACCATTTTGGTAGTAGCTTAGCTTAGCTGAGCAAAGCCTTAATAGAATTCAAAATCATGATTATGGAATTCAAAACAAAATTTTCAAAATTATTTTTATTCAGCCCGAAAACAGATGGTACTTTATTGTACCCCCAAAAATACAATATGATATAACACAATTATATTGGAAATATATACATGTAACCCATCTCATAAGTTCTGCATTACATTAAAGTGCCGATCCATATAAATCTAAATGTTTTATAAGAAAGAATAACTATTTTAATATTATTTATATAAGGCCGTTTATTCAAATACATGATTAAGGGAAAACATTTAAAAATGGACGATTAGCAAACATTATAAAATGTTACCCATATGCAAGTAATCACGAAAGTCTGTAAAGTGTATTCCCGTCCCATAAAAATAATGAATGTGCTTTGGAATAATACTATAAAACCTAGAATATATAAAAGCACGACTTTAGAAATCCTACATATATGAAATAATTAATAGTTGTCTAATCATTCAGCAATTTAGGAATACAAATATATTGTCTGTATATCATACCACCATCAGGGACGGTTTCATCGATATCTATTAAAATTAAAACAAACAGCTCTTTTTCAAAGAAGAAACAAGACAAAATGTAATAGAATACCTTTAGTTTTTGGAAATGTGTTCCCAATTTTAATAGGTAGCTAATTAACGTAACATCAATTATTATAATATTACAAAAATTTAAAAAAAATATATAGTTTATCGAATGTTTCGATAGAGTAGTGAAATTCATTCAGGAGTTAAATTATTATCTGTAGCTGTCAAAAGTAATGACGCCATTTTGGAAGTGCGTTCAAAAACATTTACATATGATTTGAACAAACCGCAATTAGGAATTATTTAAAAAAAATAGTAGGTCAAAACAAGCAAAATGACCCACAAACTTGTCTTTTCTGGTAAAAAAAAAAAACAATAAAAATACTTACTACTAATATGTTGGGGAATATATTATAAACACGAAACACTTTAGGGGAATACAGGCAACATATTTATTAAAAAAAGAAAAAGAAATAGATTATAAATTTTTTGAAAGCTAACTACTTATATTACAAAAATTGTTTATGCACGTCGTTTAAATAACTTATCATTATTTATTATATTATTGTATTTGTTAAGCAATGATTTTACTTATAACGCCATAGCCGGGTCGCACACCTGGTAAAATCATTTGGTCGACTTTTTTAAGAAAATTACTACTATTGCTATGAAAGTCGTATCCTGTAGTTCCTCGATGTCGAAAAAATTATCTTACAAGGTGTCTCTTTGTAAATTCTACTTCAATCCACAATGTGCACGAATATATAACATTGCATTTATTACATTATAATATTTTGACATAAAGTGTTAAGAAATGCAAAAAATTTATACATTTCGTGCAACTTTCGATATTGTCTCTGTACTCACTCTAAGGCATGTCACTCATTGTGCAATATATAATTATATATAGCTATTGTTCTGAATAGATATTTTTTTTGAATAGCGAAATTCGAAAACGCGGTGTCCTCTTATAATGTCGGAACGCTAAATTTCTCTAACAACATACTACGAGAGTTATTCATATTTAGTTTTGTTAGGAATTATTCAATTATTATTACATATTAGTATTTAATAATGGAATTGATAACAATGCAAGAACTCTATGTTCTTGCTAACATACATATCTGCAGAGATAGGTAAATTGTAAGAAAAAGGTGAATGTTAAATTAACATTACTGCATCGTTTGTCAAAAAAATATGTAATCAATTAAAAAAAAATAAAATATTATATTTATGGCTTGCAATGTCTATTACAAATTTAAGATCTCTGTACTACTAAAAATGTAAAAATATTTTACTGCAAAAAGTAATTTTATTATCAATGTAAGTGATGTAGTGAAAGGTTTCAACTAATAAATGTAATAAAAAAAAACAACTTAAACACAATTGCATTGATGATATTCTAAATATCTAATAATTTCGTTAAGCAAAAATGTATAATAATACAAATGATTAAATTTTAATAATCAATACTAGTTCAAGCATTCATAATGTTTTCTGGTTTGAATGACACGCCACTGACTCAATTCGCACGTGTTCTTTTGTCTCTATCGCACTCATCAGCCTTCTCATTAGTTGATTTTCAGGCGTTGAGCCATTTCGCTACTGATTGATGACATACTTTCCATACTTCGCGTCTAAAGCCGTTGAATTTTATACAATAAAAACATCACAATAAATAGAACTTACAATTTAAACAATGAAACGCAGTGGTCTATACACAACCTATTTAAGACAAAAATGATTGTCGAAAGAAAAAAGAAATATTAATGATGTTAGTTCCAATAGTCTCCGATTCTAAAAAGATTTTTTTTCTCTAAGTTAATGTTACATACGAAAATATTTTTTGTTGATTTTATGAGGAACGTTAAGCGATTATTTTAATTTTAATCCAGCAAAAAAGCCTATTAAATGTTTGAACTCGAATCTTAGAATCGTGGTTTTAGGACATAAATGCAATAATTGATTATAAATTACATAATTATACCATAGAGCGCTGCCTTCGATACGTCCACTATTCGATAGTTATTGAACAAAAAACTTTCATTCAAAAACATACTCTACTCTATACTAATCAATGAGAAAAGAGACTACTTTTCTATTCCCTTGCATTGGGCATGTGTTGTTTAGTTCACGTGTGTAGCAAGTGACTTTTGAATGAAAGAGATAGCACATCTAAGTGCCGAATAGCCATCGTAGAGACAGTGTACCGTTTCCAACGCATACATATTGGCTTTAACGTACCATTTAATAATTGATTCCAAAATAACTAAAAATTGTAACAAATTACCACAATATCTATTCAAAAATATCAGTTACCTGTTAATGTTTGATTCTTACTTACTAAGTAAATGACTAAACCTAGAGGTCACGGATGTATTTCTTTCATGAAAGAAGTCTATCTGAAATATTTTTATAAGAAATACCAATAATATTCGTGCCGAAAATAATTTAAACAAAACAAAATTAGCACCCAATAATTAAATAATAAGAAATCTAGCAAGGCACCCTTTGTAACAAATTCGAATAATTGAATTGTCCAATTCATTGTCTAATAAAAAAAAATTATGAACACTAAGTTTCCGCAATAAATTTTATTGACATATTTCAACTTTCGACTTTAACTCTTGCGGTATTTAGTTCATTTTCGTATCACCTTTTACGCTGACCCGTTCAGCCAATATATACGCTATGAAAACCATTCAATTTTCGACCTTATATTTCAAATATTAGATTGCATTTTGCAACGTTAATGGGTGATTGTGTGTCGCCGAATGTCCATTGTGCGTGGTGAAGTCATCGTCCAACAATTTAGGTACTTCAGCCAACTTTGTTTGTCCAAGTTGTTGAAGGTGTTGGTCGTGTTCGGAGGAGATGCGCTCGTTCTGTATAAAGTTGGCCGATAAGTGGGCGACATGTTGGTTGCCGTTATTGGCCACTAATGTTGGCGCGTTGTCGTTCTGCTTGGTAGGGACGGTCGTCGACTGCTCGTCAGATTTGTCCTTGGTCTGAAAGTAGATCAAATAAAACATGTAAATCAGGAATGTAAGTACGAATTCAATGAATCTTTGGGTTACTCTCAAAGTCTATGAGCTAAAGACGGGCTATAAATTATTTAATAAGATGATTGTATCAGTATACGTAAATCCGAAACACTACTACAAATATTTGTTCAAAGTCCACTTCTGAATATAAACATCCCCCATAGATTGAATCATAACGGTAGGGGAAGGATACTAACATAATTGGCTTAGTTGTAAAATAACATAGTTGGCATGCTAGATAGGAGGGTTGGTAACCGCGATTTTTTGTATTAATTTGAGTTGTTTTTTATAGGAGAGGGCGAACGAGCATACGGCTCACCTGATGATAAGTGATTACCTCCGCCCATGAACAACTGCAACACCGGGGGAATTGCAGATGCGTTGTTGGTCTTTTAAAAAGGAGTAGGCTCTTTTCTTGAAGGTCCCTAAGTCGTATCGGTCCGGAAAAATATCTGGGTGGTAATCAATTCCACAAGGAAGTTGTGCGAGGAAGAAAACTTCTTTTAAATCGCACAGTGGTGGACCGCCAGTCATCCAGATGATATGGATGGTATCGCGAGTTTTGTCGCGATGTACGATGGTGAAATCGTGCGGCTGGAATTAGTCCGAACATTCCTTAGAGCACTCCCCGTGGTAGATGCCATAAAATACTTACTGGCACTGCAAAGAGATGCAACATCTCTTCGCAGTGCCAGTGAGTCAAGCCGATCGGGAAGAGCTCGGGGTCGCAGACAATAAACAAACCAAGAAAACAGAACAAATGGAAGGAGCTGGTACTGGGGAGCCACAGCCTAGAGATGGGAACAGTATTCCATGTGCGGCCGAACCTGCGCCTTGTAAAGTTGCAGGCGGTGTGCCGACATGAAATACTGTCCCGCTCTGCTAAACACGCCAAGCTTTTTAAAGGCCAATTTGGCCTTCTCTTCCAAGTGACCACGAAACTGCACGTCACTCGATATGTCGACGCCGAGGATTCCGATAATGGCTGAGGCAACAAGGGGAGCGTCTTAAAACTGAGGAGATGCTATGAAGGGAATCTTTTTAGCGGTAAACGCGCTAACTTGTGTCTTTTGGGGATTAAACTGGACTAGATTTAGTCGTCCTCATCCCGAGACTTTGTTCAACAAAGTCTCGATTTCAGACACAAGTTAGTCCCGGTACTCAACGACGTTTTCCCGAAAAATATTGGCACGGCCGTTGTATAAAGCATCACCAGTGCTGTCGTCCGCATAGCAATGAATTTAATTACCGGTTTGCAACATATAATTGATATGCAGAAGAAACAGCGCTGGCGATAGCTAGTAATCGGAACATGCACCGTCTACAACGACCTTGGTGCTCCGATCTGCAAGAAAACTGGTGATCCAAATCCACAATTTCTCGGAAAGCCCATGAGAAGGAAGCTTCGTAAGCAGTTAGGTAACCCAGACGATCACCAACCGAGCAACCGCGACGGAAACCGTACTGGCGGTCACTAATCAGCTGGTGATCCTCAAGGTACCGCATGAGCTGGTTGTTAATAACGGACTCCATTATTTTAGAGAACAAGGAGGTGATGGCGATAGGTCTATAGTTGGACAGATCAGAGTGGTTACCTTTTTTAAGGGATCGGGTACACGAAAGCTGTCTTCCATGATTTCGGGGCTACGCCTAGGGAGTGGGAGTAGCGGAAAAGAAGCGTTAAAACCGATGCCAACTCTGGAGCACACGTCTTCAGTACAATAGGAGAGACGCCATCTAACCCACTCGACTTGTTGACGTCCAGGGAGAGGAGTGCTTTGCGCACCGAGCGTTGGGTAAACAGCACATCCTGCATGGAGCACTCACACCGCAGGATGGTCGGCGGTATGTTCCCCCCGTCATCAAGGGTCAAGTTCGACGCAAAAAGAGAGCCCAGCAGATCGGCTATGTCCTTTGCGGCATGGGCCAGTGAGTCGTCCTCCATGTGCAGCGATGGCAGAGATGGCTGACAGAAGTTTCCTTGGACAGCCTTGGCGAGAGACCAGAATGCACGGGTTCCAGAAGGAAGGTGAACTAGTATCTCGCCAATTCTGCCTATGTGCTCTGACTTTGCCTTGGCAACTTGCACTTCAAACGCATGTGCATTTTGATTTTTAATCTAGGATAAATGTAGATGTCTATGGGGTCTCACCATCAGGTGGACTGTGTGCTCGTTTGTCACCCTTATTCTATAAAAAAGATGGACCAATCACGTGAAGTAATGTTTATCGTATCCACTCACAGAAAGACCTATAAATTGACCATTGCGTGTATGCCTCGTAGTATCATATATTTAGGAGCTAATAGAAAAGTGTCAATAATGGAGCGCACTCACATCATTTCGCTCGGACAGTCCCAGCAGGTCAGCAGTGACGTTACCGTTGTTGATGGCGCCATCTTGCGCAGCCGTACTTTGGTTTTCTGCTGAGTTCTCATTCGCTTGCAGCTGCGACTCTTCTTGCTGCAAAATAAGATTCGATTCACACGTTATTTAGAATATAGGGAATAACTGACACCATAGCACAGACGTCATACATTAAGCCCGCATTCAAATCTAAAGATATTAACTACCTACGTAATTCTTAAATTAAGATTATTTTTGTGTGAAATTATTTTGAATCTAGTCCGCTAGCATAACTTTAATTGTAGTACGATACGGCCGTTTTAATTTGGTCGGTCTGAATTCAGATTCTTCGAACATTCACAAAAGTCAGTGTGACAAAGAATAGACTCACTAAATATTTTCAGAAGTCAATAGGTCGAATTAAAATTCTTCAAGCTTAACAATTTATTTATTTAATTTATTCTTTATTGTACACCAAAAACAGAATAACATGTAGAGGTTTAACCTAAAGTATAATATACAACAGGCGGTCTTATCACTCTGAATAAGATCTCTTCCAGACAAGCTTTGCGTAGAGAAGTGATACAATCAATAGTTATAATAGTGGGGGAAGGGGGGCGTACAAGAAATTATGAAAATATATATTAATGAAGATAAATTAAAATGATATATTAGATTAAATGAAAAGAGTTCGTAAAAGGAAAAGTAATTTATATAATAACGTTTTAAGCAATATGATTCAACAAGGCTTTTGAAAGAATAAAGAAATTTATCACGACGGATGTGGTGAGGTAGAGTTAAAGAGAAAACAAACGCACCGCAGTGCATAAAGGATTTCTTAAAAAAGGAGGGAGCGTGCAAAAGAGAAAGATACTGGAAACGGCATTTTAAATAATGAAGAGTGGAAGGATTAAACAGCTCGCCATACAAAGCGGAGAGTGTGAGTATTCCTGCGAACGCGGATCGGTAGCCATTTGAGCTGTATACGAAATTCAGAGATCATATTTGCGAAGCCTGACTAACCTATTAGGTTCAAGCCATACAGGAGTCGAGATACAACCTTAGGTTTTTAACCTTGTTACTGTAAGGGATTTGAGTAGTCAATAGTGTAAGTTTTCTTATATAGTATGGTTTTCATAGCGTATAAGTTTTCTTATATACTCCATATATATATATATATATATATATATATATATATATATATATATATATATATATATATATACTTCAAAATACAAGTCGGATCAGCGTTAATAATGTCAACTGATTTAGATAAACCTTCACGAGAGGACTGAATATAGATTTGCAAATCATTGACATACAAGTGGTAGGAAGAAAACAAATTGTGACTAGTTTTGAAAAATGCGAAGAGGAGAGGATACAACACGCCACCTTGTGGTACACCAGCCGCTGTAGTAATGTAACGCTGTATCAACAGAAGACGCATTAACATCAATACTCCAGTCAATATTGTTACGAGCTTTGGGTTCGTGACAATAAAAATTGCAGATTGAATTACCAAAATTAACACTTTAATTCACTTTACACCAATTAAAACTTAAAAGACACTAATAATTAATCAATGATTCACTTTATTTTGCTCCGAAGCTTCGCTTGTCTCGCCAAATTCAATACTGCCCCGATCGCGGCTTGCAGCGGCTTTAAAATACCTTTTCCACCGAAACATCCAGAATATTCCAGCAAATACGGGTGCCGACCGACCAGGCGCAGAAAGTTCGAGAGTGGACCCTTCTAGAAAGCTTAATTCTTCTGTTCGATACTAGATGGCGCTGTTGGTAGAGTTCCAGAAAGATCTTGACACTCCTATTTCTGATACTTGATACCAGATGGCGCTATTGCCATCAACTGTGGCGCGCAACAATATTTACAGCGTAGTTGCTGCTCTAAGTCGCTAAAGTTACGCTGAAGTAATATACTTGACTTTGCTTTAGGGAGACGGAAAAAAGTGCGTGGCCGAAAGAATCAGAAAGAATTTACAATAATATTATTAAAATTATTTTAGAAATTTTATATATATATAAATATATATAAACACTCACGCCTGTCACCCAGAGGGGTAGGCAGAGACTACGGACTTCCATTTGGCACGATCCTGACATACCTCTTTCGCCTCCTTTACATCCATATATCTACGCATACATGCTCGTCGGTTAAGGGTACTTCTAACGTGGCCCATTTTCAAAATCTCGCCAATTTGGTCGATAAACTTTTTCCTAGGGCGTCCCTTCCCGACTCGGCCATTCACATCTGCCATATAAATTTGCTTTGTCACTCTTTCCTCATTCATTCTTTCTACGTGACCAAACCACCGAAGCATTCCTTTCTTAATCCTGGTCACAACATCATCTTGCATACCACATTTATCTCTTATCACGCAATTTCTCACCCTGTCATTCAGATTACACCCTAGCATATTCCTTAAAGACCGCATTTCTACAGCATTTATTCTACTTTCGTGCTTCTTCTGCCACACCCAGCTTTCACTACCATACATTAAAGTAGGGACTAACACAGCATTATGAATTACCATACGTGCCTGTTTTGACAAATTCTGGTTCTTCATAATAGAGTGTAGTGCCCCATTCACTCTATTCCCTGCATTTACTCGTCGTTCTATATCCCTATCATATCTACCATCCCTGCTAAATACACATCCCAAATACACAAACTCATCCACTTGCTCAATCGACTCTCCTTCTATTCTTATTTCACATACCGTTTTGCTTTCTTCTCTTTCAAAAACCATCACTTTCGTCTTACTTGCGTTCACTTTCATTCCCCTTTCTTTTAATTCCCAGTTCATTAATGTAACCATCATTTGCAACTCTGCCGCCGATGACGCAAGTATGACTTGATCATCGGCATACAAAAGGCATTTGACGGTTAACTCGCCCATTCTTAACCCACATTCTTCATCTTTCAAAGTTTGCAAACACCGGTCCATAAATAGGTTGAACAGCCAAGGGGAAGCCACACAGCCCTGTCTGACACCTTTTTTGGATGCCAAACCAGTCCGAGTAGACCCCATTGATCCTGACACAAGCACTAGAGTCCCTATAAAGAGACCTTAATGCCTGTATCAAACCAGCGCTCAACCCATATGAGTTCAGTGTTTGCCATAACACATTCCTGTCCACTCTGTCATAAGCCTTTTCCAAGTCCATGAACGCACAAAAAAGTTTCTGGTTTTTGGCCAAAAACTTCTCCGCAATCATGCGCATGGAAAAGACTTGATCTGTACACCCCATTCCCTTTCTAAAACCCGCTTGCACATCCCAAATTTTTCCATCAGTTTCTTTCATAACTCTTTCAATTAACACCTTAGCATACAGTTTACCCACAATACTAAGCAAGCTGATACCGCGGTAGTTTTTGCAGTCCTGCTGTGACCCTTTTCGTTTATATATTGGTACTATAACTGCTTTACACCAGTCATCCGGTAAATTTTATATAAAATATATTATTTTATTTTATTAAAATTATTTTGTTTTCTTCGACGTCCATTTGTAAAACGTATCACAGAAGAACCACATACATAGTTATCGTTCTAATTTCACATTGAAAACACTCGTGTCGCAAATACATAAAGTTTAAACAAACTGAGAAGCCAAGGCGTGACGTGAAATTATAAGTAGCAAACTGTTATGGCCCTTTTGAAAATTTGGTTTGACACACCTGCTACAACAATTAATGATTTCTACGCGAATGTGAATAGAACTAATTTTAGAGACCTTACCGCATTGATTTCAACTCATTGTGTACTTTTAATTTTAACCCCAGACCAAGATTAAAAACTGGTTTACGAGTAACAAATTTATGTATAATTTTTCATTTGCATACACCTACATACCCACCCGATACTAGGGTTTGGAGTTCCGACTTTCTAAATACGAATCGTTTGAAATGTAGGTGCACCTCAGCAACAAAGAGGCTGGTATCCACTCACTAAACAAAACTTTTTAGTAAAAAAGATCATAAATTTAGGCAAATTAAAATAGAGACCATTAAATTTAAAAAAAATTACAAACCTGACTAGGGGCGAGCTGCAAAAGATCCGCCGTGTACACGTTGCCATTGTCCGAAGCAACAGACACGGGCACGGACACGGAGACGGACTCCGTAACGGGCACGTGCAGCTCCGTCGACTGCGGCGCGTGCTCGGGCGCGGGCACGCTAATGGGCACGTGCACGTGCTCACTCGCAGCAGTGGATCCGTTATCATTGACTACAGTGGATCCGTGCTCGTTAGTCTGAGCGCCCGTTTGCTCGCTCGCCAGTGATTGCACGTGCTCGCTAGTCTGCGCGGTATTCTCGCTGGTTTGTCCGGCCACTTGTACGTCAGTCTGTGCGGGCGCTGGTTCATTAGTCTGCGCAGGTGATTGATCATTAGTCTGTGAGGGTGATTGTTCGCCAGTTGATGCCGTCGACTGGTTAAGCGCTGCGGCGGCTTTGTTCTCTTGTTGTTTCTTGTCCTCTTCTGCTTGCTGCGAAACCGAATACATAATTAATTATTACTCTTGGCTTATTCCTTTGTCGGTGAAGCTCACGGACGACTGAGGAAGTGTTAAAATGAACGTGATGCAATGATTTCATAATACGCAAATTATGAGATAACTGTAATGAGCACGCGCTCGGAAAAACTAAGTAAGCGCCAAACAATATTTTATTTCAACAAAATTTTGTTATGGATTAAAAAAAATCGTTTATGAGAACTTAGATATGATTATTTACTATGCCTTAAAAATAATTCCATAAACTTATACGTAAAAATATTGCGGTTTTATGAAGAAATGTAACTAATTAGAGCCTACTTTGCAATTTTATTCTATGGAGAAAATTATGCAATCCAAGGTTATATAGTAGTAGTACCAAAATTTTGGTTTGTAATCTATAAAACTTAAAAAATTGTGAAATAGAAAAACCTCCAAATTTTCAAAGTATCACCTTAATTGCTGGTGATATTTATTCGTTGCATAAGAGGTCAAATACTTAAAAATAGTTTAAGTTTATTTATAGGTATTGTTATATTTTAAACGTTTTAGACCTGGTTTGTAACTTGAGAAAATCTTTTTTAGTTTGTTAAAGTTACTAAATTAAGTTATGGATTGTTTGTTATGTTTTTATGTATTGCTATTGTTTTTCGTTTGAAGTTGAAAATGTGTGTATTTTAATGCACGATAATTACTGTTAATTTTATTAATACTATATTTACTGTATTCACAAATAAATAAAGACTTTTGCTAATCATTCGATAATCGTAGGAATAAACAATAATTATTCATACATTAATCTTCGAAATAAAAAAGATATTCGTCGCATAATTTTGAAAATTATAGTCAACCAAATCTAAGAAATACCTTTTGACGTTTCACATTAATCGTTCCGCAATAACTTTGCACAAGCGTACTCACACTATTTAAAATAACATTTTACGAAAATCCGAAGAATTATGAAGTTATCTATATTTCATTACAACGTGTATAGGTTTTTATCACTAATTTAAATTTGAATCTATCAAACAAATCAAAATATTAAAAAATAACCAGTATCAACTTTTTTTACTTGACGTCGTTTCAATGATATGTCGCTATGTACATTACCGTAGTGTTTGAATGATGAAAATTCATTGTTATGCGAATAATCGGCAAAAATATTCAAATAATCGGTAAAAATATTTAAATAATCGAATCATTAATTTGTTAATGTATTATTTATTTAATTTAATTTTTTCTTTTAAAATTCCTTAAATTACATGAATCATGAATAAAACAAGTTTTTTTTTAATTTGTCAACATAAAGTTGTTTATTGAATAAAACTAAATTTACGGATTCTATCGCGTTTATTTAACTGATTTTACTTATTTTTAATTCCCGACGTTTCGGGTGCTTTACAGCAACCATGATCACAGGCGGGACTCAGATGTTTGACGTCCCAATGTCATTGTTAGCCCGGCTACCTTCGGTTTTTGAATATTAATTTTTGGTCCGGTTTACGCAAAACGAACTTACAGTATCTTGAAGTCTTGCAGTAGTACGCTTGGGTTTGGGTTTAATTTTGTCGATTATAGGATCCCAAGCAGATGTCAGCACCCAACTATCTTCTCTATTGAAATTAGGATGTTTTTTAATTTCAATAGCCTCGCGTATCATCCTTGGTAGGAATCGGTGTTCTTTTGCGAGGATTTGTGGTTTATCAAATCTGAAGTAATGGTGGGGACGATCTTGAACATGTAAATTAATATATTAACTTTAAGAAATAAATATATTAACTTTGGCCTCTCAGTATACGAGTATCTACGAAAATTTTGATTTATGTTCACAAAAATAAAGGTAGTATTAGTAAAAAAAGTGGCATACACTCTGTTTACACTAGGAACAAACACAAGCTGGTGCTACCAGTTTCTCGACTCCACAGAGTCAGTAATTCATTCTCGGGGCAATGTATACGCTATTACAACAAAGTCCCAGAAAATATACAAGGTCTCTCTATTACCAAGCTTAAATATTTAATTAAACAAAAACGGTATAAAAAGGGTTATTCTGATATAAATGAATACATGGTTGATAATAACCCCTGGGAATGGGGTGGTCGCTTCCAAGCTGTTTCTAAAATAAATTTTGTAAATATTTTCTTACCCTAGACATTGTAAAATTTATTTTAAAAAAAGTCTCGCTGGGTTTCTTGCTGGTTCTTCCCAGGACAGAGGTTTTTTTCGAACAAGTGGTAACGTAAAATATTGACTTTCAATAAGAATTACTTGTAAGTTATATTGAATAAAAAATATTCTATTCTATTCATTTGAAACATGTGCCCATGTCACAAAGGATCATTTGGCAAAGTTGTAGAAAAAACATTTTTTATGGATGACTTCCCGTTCGTTCAACGTTCCGTTTGTTCACCGTTTCGGGAAGTCTGCAGTTTGTGATCATATCCTAGACGGCCTCAACCATTACATCAGATTTGATAGACCTCAAATCCTCGCGAAATAACACCGGTTTCTACCAAGAATGATACGTGAGGCTATTGAAATTAAAAAAAACATCCTAATTTCAATAGAGAAGGATTCTAGGTACTACCACCTGCTTGGGACCCTATAATCGATAAAATTAAAACTAAACCCAAGAATACCACTGCAAAACCTCAAGACATAGTCGGTTCATTTTGCATAGATCGTACCATAAACAATAATTTAAAAAAAAGCTGAAGGTACTCTGGGTTTAACAATGACATCGGGACGTAGTCACCTCAGTCCCCCGTGTCCATGGGGCTGGAAAGAAAAAAATCTAAACAACGACAGCGAAATTAGTTGTACTGAAAGTGATTGAATAAATTTTTCTAATCCAGTTTCAATCTTAAATTTGTATAACTGTGCCTCTAGAAATAAGCAGTAACAACAAATACATAGAAACTGATAAATCTTGTGTTTTAAATTACCCGTTTTAAATTTATTTAGGTATTATTCAAACCAAACTGTAAATGATTACCAACTCTAAATAATTGATATCGATTTTTTTAAGAATCGAATATTGTACGTTCCCATTTTTCGGTTGGCATGCCTGGTGCAATAAGTCTGACAACTGTCAAAATGTATTTCTTAGATTTGGTTGACTATTATAATAAGTAAAATTTTTCAATATTATAGTTTAATTTATTTATGTTTTATAATCATGTCATTTAATGTACGTCGTTTTAGGGTAGGTCTAGGGTCTTTATGTAAGATGGATATTGTAAGATTGCTCTAATGTTTTATAAGACGTAAAAAGTGTAGTTATACGAGTAAGAGTATATGTTATATATTGTATTTTATTTTTAGCCGTCTAAAATCAGTAAAAATATTTGGTATTGTATTTATTTGGTAAATTTAAAATAAATCATACGATAATTATATTAACAAAAAAATAAAGGAACATGTGTGCAGTTTAATACGCGTAGAAGTGAAATTTCCAGAAAAGAAGATTGAGGTAATAGGAAGCACTGAATAGTGTAATATTGAATGTTTATCTCATTTTTTTAAAGAATAGAGTGACAAACGATCACAGAGTGCACTTGACGGTAAGTGGTTGCTGGGGCCCATAGACATCTACAAATACATACACACACACACGCGCGCGCACGCGCACGCGCACGCACGCACGCACGCACACGCACACACACGCACGCACGCACACGCACACGCACGCACGCACGACCCACCCCCACCCCCCACACACACACACACACATATATATATATATATATTTAATTATAAATATAAGTGATATATATATATATATATATATATATATATATATATATATATATATATAAAGGCGGCAGATAACTTTTAATTTTACGGGGCGATTAACTTGAAACTTATAAAGGTACTCTGTATATTAGTAGAGCCATGCTGAAGCTATATTATGGTTGTAGCACGAATGGGTCGGCTCGACCGGGGAAGGACCATGCTCTCACAGAATACCAGCGTAAAGCGCAAAGCGCAGAACGTAGAAGCATAAAAATATTACAACATAGTTTCATTTTATTACGCAGGTAATTAACTAACATAAGATTTTGAAAAATTCAAACCCTCAGAGGTGAAATAAGGTATTAAAGTTTGTTAGACACTTTATTTTACAACACTTTATGATTACGAGTCAAAATGCAGATGCATTGTCACCCGTGAAGACTAATATGGAATGCCTCGTTTCCAGTAAAAAGGGTCTCTATACTCACCATACGAAACACAGCAGCATTAAGCTACTATTTTACGCTGGTATTCTGTGAGAGCGTGGTCCTTCGTCAGTCGAGCCGATCCATTCGTGTTACAACTATACTACAGATATAACTGCAGCATGGCTCTACCACACATACAATTTCGCATTTTAAATTATTTTCAATTCTCGCCGTGTAAATGCTATAGATGTAGTCTCTTTTGGTGTTGTTTTTTTCGTTTCATGAAGATTCAAATCATAACGATTTTAAAGAAGCTTTCGTTTCAGAGAATTTATTATTCGATTACTGTATGTTGGACACTTCCATAAATAAATGCATTTAGAATAGGCTGTATGTGTAAGGGGGTAACGTGTGTGTGTGTGGGTATACCTTCTTGAGGCGCGTGCGCGCCATGATGGCCTCGACGCGCTGCTTGCGCGCCAGACGCTCGCGCTCCTCGCGCTCGGCCTCCGCCTTGCGCGCGAGCTCAGCGCGCTCGGCGGCGCGGCGCTTGTCCTCCTCCTCCCGCGCGCGCACGCGCCGCTCCTCCTCCTCGCGCGCGCGCCGCTCCGCCTCCGCGCGCTCCAGCTCCTGCTGCGCCTGCAACCGTACGCAAGTTTACTGTAGGCAACGCCACGAGTCATGGAAGTGCGCAGAACCAAAAATAGGTGTCGGCACGGTGAGGTGTGAGGTACGGGGAAGCGAAACCATAGTAACGGGCGACGCGCTACTCCTACGTCGTTTCTCCCTGCGTCCCGTCGCCCGTGCACCTTCTTGTGTCGTCTTGTGTACTATCGATATCGAAAGTGTTAGCGACTACCTGTTATAAAATTTTAAACTTTTGCGATTATTTTTGTACTTTTAAAAATATGGTTCTATTATATTTTCAAATGGTGTGCAAATATTTATTACTTTATAAATTATTTTGGGACTATTTAAAATAGCGTAATTCGTAGTATATTGTATAAAATTGTAAATATTTTGTTATTTTCTACAAGATTATATTTTTTTGCAAATTATTGCATGTAAAATATCCTTATAATCGAAGGCTATTGCATAGTATAGTTTAAACAGCAATCACAAATACAAAATATTTTATTTCTTTTACTAAGTGTACATAAAATGCAGAATATTATTTAGAAGCAGTTAAAACCTAACGATGATATATAAATATATCGGTCAGTTTTCGTCGAGACTTTGATGTGTAGTTATAATGTTGACCTTTGACTTTTTACATATTAAAATGCCATAATAAAATTTTCATTTTTTTTGCTCGAATGTACATGCGCAGTAGACTCTAATTTCATCTTTCGTGGCACGACTATACCCCACCTCATTCACGCAACTAATCAACCTATTCCTAGCACTATCAACTTCCTTTTTTCCTAACGTCGTTTACATATACATGTTGTATATTAAAATGTAGTAAATTATTATGAATAAGTAAATATTTTTAACAATAATAACAAATTTGATTGATTTATAGATTTACCAAATGTGAACATTAAACTAAAAAACGATATACAAAAAAGTTACATGATACATGCATACAAATATTTTCCTTTGGACCTCAAACTAAAAAAGTCTTGTATCTTGGGATCCGAAATAAGGTTTATAAAAAAATAATCAACACACATTGATCATGACACTGATAATTATTTTATTAGTGTCATTAAGTGATCTTGATCAGAATACTAGAATAAAGTTATTAAATTATTGTATTACCATCTGTCTTTAATTAAATGCAAATTTTCAAGTCAATCAAACGCCTATAAGTTAGCGAAAATTACATTAAAAGATTCCGTTAAATAGACAAACACGAAACAAATAAAAACGTATTAAAAACAATGAATTCTTAAACCATTTTTATTTTATTTTTTCTAACACCATTTAAATATACAGAGAGAGAGAGAGAGAGAGAGAGAGAGAGAGAGAGATGTGCAGAGTGTTCGAAAGATGGGTGCAATGCCTGAAAGTGATAACACCTTAAACCATTTAGGAAAACATTAAGTTAAACTTGTCTTAGACAAAGACTTATCGTTTTTTAAATCGAATTTCTAAAGTTTTAACAATGGAACCCATTTCTTTTTTCAATTAATTGCTAATAGTGTCCAATAACAATTGTTATGTCATTATTTTTTATTTATCTATTGTACGATTACTCAAACAAAATAATTACCAAGCATCTTAATCATCATAAAAACATTCTACGCATATTTAAGATGAAGAAAAAAAATTAAGGAAATGTTATATTTACACCATCATCAAAAAATTGCCTTTGTGGTTTAAACCTTTTTTTAAAACACGCTTAGTTATTGCTCTTTAATTTGTGGTATTATTTAAGCAAATGTCTCAACTCTTGGAATTAGGGTGTCTAATAAAACCTAACCTAAATGGGACCCTTGTGGGACCCACACCCAATGTCACAGAAGCGGGTGAGGTTTTGAAACCTTTTATAGTAAGTAACTGACTCCTCCTGTTGAGGTATGGTTCAATCCATCTCAATAGACTCCCATGTATTCCGTAACATGGTAATGTGATACATAAAATGTTTATATAAATAATGATTCACTTTATCAAATATGCTTTCGAGAAATCGGTATTGCCTTAGCGAAAGCACTGCAAAGATAAGTATTTGTATTTAAGTAAATTAGTAATCGTCAATCTGTTTGTAATAAAGCCATGTTGTCTAAGCGATAGGATGGGTTGAATATGATGATAAAGAGAATCATTCACTAATGATTCAAAAAATTTGCTAAGGTAAGACAAGATGCTAATGGGTAGATAATTAGTCACAATAGGACCAGTCGCCGGATTTATAAATCGGAACGATATGAGCTATTTAATGGAAAATACCTGCCCTAATGGATGCATTGAATAGAATACACAAGGAATTACTTAATTCCTCACCGCACTTGTTAATCAACAAAGGAGGAAGACCATTTGGTCCAGAGCCTTTTCTTTGGTACAATTTCGCAATATTTTGCTTTATTTCTTCTTGTGTTTTCACAATACCACCTAAGATACAATTACTACGATTGGATAATTCATTGTGAGAATATAAACTAGGCTCCACTGGGTTTACAAAGACAGAACTGAAAATTAGAAAAAAGCTCACATTTTTATTTTTCATCGGAAGAGATGTGATTACCATATTTTATCGTTTTGGGAATGCTTTTTTTCATCGTGAAGAAAACGCCAAAAGCATTTTATGTTGTCATCTAAAGAAGATTCGACGGACGAAACAAAATTTTTATAGTCATTACTAATAAGTTTTTTACATCAGTTGCGTAACATGGAAAATGTATCATAATCCCGAAGATTCTTATATTTTTTGAAACGACGATGATATTTTCGTTTTCTTTCTAAGCTTTGCCAGTTGTGAACCATACTGGATAAATGTTAGTGTCAATTGTCGTCGTAGGTGTATGTTTTATAACAATATTCCTGACCTCCGCATGAAATGCGTCAGTCATGCTATCAATGTCTTTATGAATTGACAAGACATTATAACATTCAACTTAAAATAAAAACTTAAAATTAGGTTACAGTTACAGTTTATTTCGCCGTGTAGTGGCGGTGTAAGAATATCCACTACTCCATTTCATCCCGTTGGCTGTTGTAAGTTGAACAAATCAGGAAATAGGTAGCAGCGTCTTCCTAATAAAGACTAAAATCAAAGACTGCGGTTGCCAATCCGCTTGCCAAGCGTGGCAACTATGGCAAATCCCCAATGAAGCAATAGACTTTATTAGACTGTAACGATATCGGTTGTAACAAAAACTTTTTCCAGTTAAGTACTTTGTCACAAAAAAATTGCGTTCAAACTTATAGAAATACAAAACTTAAATTTAATTTAAATACTTTTTTTGCAAATTGTATGTGATTTTATGATACCATTCTTATGTAATAACAGGCGTTTAGTCTTCGTCCAATACAGAGATTATAAAACCACTTAACGGGAATCACAGGGTTTTTATTACATGATGTATGTCAAAGTATAACACATTATTGTAAGTATTGTATTGGGAAATAAAAATGTAACATCATAATGATTGTTTATATTTGGAAGAATATACATTCAATAAACTACTTTCACGAATTAATTTATTCTAATTCACGATGTTATAGAACCATGATAATAACTAGGAGGCATATGTTTAGCAGTGGACATACGAGTATATAGGGCTGTAATGATGATGATTTTGTCAGGACAACAGATACTGTAAAACCCCTAACGTAGAATAAAATCAGTAAAATTAAACGCGATAAAATCCTTAAAATGATTACACAAATATTTAAAAATGGCTACGTATGTCCTTCACGGCGTGTAAAAACCCCCTGAGCTCCATTAAAGGCAGTGATTCCGATGTCACAAACAGACAATTCAATTTTATTTATATCATATAAAATATTATAAAGCTGTATGCTAGTAATCTTTGCCTTTTACTTTACTTACTTGGTGGCACATCTATACTTCTTTCCTTTTTTGCTGTTTAAGTTCTACTTACTATCGTATAGTTTTTTTAATAGTTGTATGTGTTTGTAAGATATAAATAAACAACTATATACTTCATTAGACGGCTCCGTGGCGCAATGGCTTAGCAATGATTTACAGCGCTAAGGGCTACGGGTTCAAATTCCGCACGGAACAAGTATTTGTATTGCCTACAAATAATTGTTCCGGGTCTGGATGTTTGTCCTTGTGAAATTTGTTCGTAAACTACCCCCACTATACAAAAGAAAATCCTAGTGTGGAGGTAACGTTTTTTAAACTATAAACAAACAAAAAACTGAACATCTACGTATCTCTGAAATACCCCCGTAGTAAATATTTACCTCAATAGCCTTCCTCAGCTTCTCCTCTTCGAGCTTCCGCTGCAGGGCCGCCAGCTCCCGCGCTTCTTCCTCCTCGCGTCGCTGTCTCTCCTCCTCTTGTCTCTGCCTCTCAGCCTCTTCTTCTGCTTCACGCTGTAGTCTTCAAAATAAATTACTTTTAAGAACAAATATCTAGTCAATTAATAAATAAAAACGCAGCAATATACTGGACTTGATGATGTTATGTTATGAACTGGTACACAATGATTATGCTGTGCTGTCATTTACATAACAATGAATGTTCATTCATTCATTACAACCCTTTATAAATCGGGTTTGGCACAAAGCGTTTCTAACGAAGCTTCCATCTTACGGACTTCCCGAGAAAAAATGCAGTTGGATCACCAGTTTTTTTTCCGGTGGAGATTCGGTTGCCACCTAAGACGACTCTACCTGGCAACACATAACGCATGCACCCTGAGGTTAGCGAGAAGATCATGGTTCTGGAAGAAGAGAGAGGTTGCGCTAGGTAATTATCTGATTATTTGAGGTCCGAAGAGAGGTGGAGGACACGGTTTCCCAAAAGGCTTTAGTACCATAGACCACATACATACCCTGCGGCAGATTGTACGGAAGTTCATAGAGTACAATCTGCCACTTTGCTTGCGTATGTGGACTATGAGAAATCATTTGATTCCGACGAAATTTAGGCCCCCGAAATTCTTCACTTACTTACTTAGAAGATGTTTTCAATCTACTAGACTGGAATGAATACGGTATTAACATCAATGGCGAGTACATCACTCACCTTAAATTTTACGACGATATAGTTCTTATGTCGGAATCGTTGGAGGACCTAAGCACTATGCTCAATGACCTCAATAGTGTCTCCCAACGGATAGATCTTAAGATGAACATAGACAGAACAAAGTCACAAATATGTTGGTAGTTATTGGGAGAACTAAGCTCAAAGTTATTGACAATTACGTTTACCTGGGACAAATAGTCCAACTGGGTAAGTCCCACTTCGACAGAGGTCAATCGACGGATTCAACTCGGCTAGGCAGCGTTCGGGAAATGACGAATCATCTTCTCGTCAGGTATATCTCAAAACCTTAAAACGAGATTGTACACCCAGTGCGTGTTGCTAGTGATGACTTATGGATCTGAGTCGTGGTCCTTCACTGCTCACCGTATGAAAACGTTCAAGGTCACTCAGAGAGCTGTGGGGAAAGCTATACTCGGGGTTTCTCTGAACTTAGAAATGAGAATATCCGCAGTAGAACCAGTGTGACCGACAAAACCCAACGGATTAGTAAACTGAAGTGGCAGTGGACCGGCTATGGCCGCTATAGCTCGAAGAACCGACAACCGATGGAGGGAAAAGGTTCTCGAGTGACAGCCTCGTACCTGCTGGCCGTATGAGGACGCTCAAGGTCGCTCTGCGAGCTATGGAGAGGGCTATGCTCGGAGTTTCTCTGCGTGATAGACTCAGAAATGAGGTTTTCCGCAGTAAAACTAGAGTGACCGATATAGCCCAACGGATTAGTAAGCTGAAGTGGCAATGGGCCGGCCATATAGCTCGAAGAACCGATAACCGATGGGGAAGAAAGGTTCTTGAGTGGCAGCCTCGCACCGGTAGGCGTAGTGTAGGGCGACTCCCACTAGATGGAGTGACGACCTGGTAAGATATGCAGGAAGTCGATGGATGCAGGTGGCTCAGGACTGTGCTTTGTGGCATTACTTGGGGGAGGCCTATGTTCAGCAGTGGACTTGTGAAGAAGGGCTGTAATGATGATGATGATGATGATGATGAAGTTACAAAAATGAACCACAACCCACCTCTGTCTCTCGAGTTCCGCTTGCCGCTCCAATTCTTCACGAGCTCGTCGTCTCCTCTCAGCCAGCGCAGCCTTTGCTTCTTCTTCCGTTGTGATGCGACGCGCGGTCATTGATGCTGTAAAATCGTTTTTTATGATTTAATTATACTTTGAACTTACAAACGTCATAGGTGGAAGGCTTGAAGGATACCACAATAGCCCATGATCATTCCACAGTTGTAAATGGTGCTCTCCAATAGCAGAGTAGATTTTGCTATAATCGTCACGACCTGCCAATCAATACCAAATAGGAGGGACTATCTGTACAGTCTGTTCACATAGATACGGTCGCCTTTGTGTCACGCCGCCTCAGCACGTGCTGTATCTTGTCAAAGGTTACCGCGTGCGGCGAAAGAGCATTTGACATTTTAAAATGAAACGCCATAGCGAAAGGTTATTTATTGACTCCGCTACATATACAGAAAATGTTTTTTAGTCCTTGGGAGGACAGTAAAGTAATGCCCCAAGAAATTTTGAGTGAACCAATAACTAGAATACTATTTTAGTATGGATTCAGAACGAGATAACGTTGGATGCCTTATCATAAATACAGGTGGCAATCACTCAGACACTTCGAGCGATGAAGAAAAGTGTCTATTTTACTTTCGTTTATGTTTACCTACCTACTACACATATTTTTCATTTAAATTGTCTTTGCTATCTAACTTGTGTTTATTATTTATATTCGTATTTCATTACAATAACCATCAGAATAAAACAGTATTCTAGTTTATTCTCAGAATACAAAATCATTTATTTAACAAACAGAGTAAAAAATAATAAAATAAAAGCAACATAATAAGTGCACCTCCGGGTGAACCGACACGCTACAAAGTAATTACACTAGGTATAAAATACCAAGACAGATAACGGAGAGCAACGTTCAAGGTGTAGTACCGCATTCGCCGTTGCGTAAAAATATGTAACGGGCACATATCAAACAGTGGCCTGTTTTCAATAACTTAATTATGCTGTTTGACTTACCAGTCATCTCATTTTCTTCAGTTTTCTCCTGCGAAGGCTCCTTCTTTTCCTCCCGTTTCTCTTCTTTTCTCTCCTGCGGTAGTTCTTTCTTATCTTCGCGTTTTTCTTCTTTATTTTCGACTGGCTTCTGTACTTCTACAGGTTTTTCTTGGCTATTATTATCTTCTACCATGTGTTCGGGCTTCGATTCCGGTTTATTTTCTACATTCTCTTTGTTTTCGTTTACCTGCAAGAGTAATAGAACATCGAATCTATTAGTTGAATGTATTGTTTATTTAGATTTATTATTATAATCATTAATTTAGTAACCCAGTCACATGGATCGATGTGACCTATTCCACAATTAGGCATAATTGCTAGTCTCTATAAATTAAGATGTTCTCCCACATAAATTGTGCAAGGGGGTTAGCAACCGCAGTTTTTTTATTACTTCGGTTGTTATTAGAAGATGCTACTGCCTATCTCCTTTTTCGTTTCCCTCTTTCGCCTCTTACGATACCCGTGGTATGATATGGGATAGTAGATTCCATTACGCCGCCACGAATCTGTGTATTTAATGAATTTTGACGGCTCTATGGCGCAGTGGCTTAGCAATGAGTTACGGCTCTGAGAAACGCGGGTTCGAATCCCGCATGGAACAATTATTCTTATAGTCTGTATGTTTCGTCCTAGTGCAATTTATGTTTATAAACTGCTCTAACCATACCGGAGAAAAACATTTTGTGAGCGAAATGTTTATTTAAAATAATATATCAATTACATTAAGTGTATCAAAACAATATATTAAGGAATTTATTCAATTGACCTTATCGTCTATGATTTGGTGTTGTGCGAGCTCGTCACCAATCTGCAGCGCCTCGAGCTTCTGGGTCACCTCCACCGCGCTCACCTGCCTCTTGTCCGACGACGTGGAAGACACGCTCTGGAATCGACGAGGGCAATTTAGAATCAATGTATTTTTCAATCACTTAACTGCACAATCAATCAATTATGTCCCCAAAACTGTTTCAGAAATAAGAGATCTATGCTAGTGGGACTTTCTTTATAGAATACGGGTGACAAGTGAGCACACAGTCCACCCGACCCGAATCCTCGATTCATAATTAAAATGTAGACGTGTTTTCCTGTGATGACAAAAATGGAATGCCTCGTTACCAGCAAAACCATAAGAATCACAGCAGCATTAAAGTTTGAGACATAAAAAGCTAAAAATCCACTGTTGGACAAGGACCTCTTACATTATTTTCAATAACACGTTTGACAGACGGATCTTCCATCATTGATTGTTCGTACCAAACATACTGCACTTTTGAAGCTGCTGTTTGTACAGGTTGTTGTCATCTATCCATCCATTACAGCCTATAAAAGTTCACTGCTGAACATAGGCCTCCCCCATAGATTGCATCATGGGGGATTTTGTCATATTTGCCACGCTTGGCAAGGTTGGCAGCCGCAGTTTTTATTATTTTGAGTTGTTATCAGGAAGCTGCTGCTCATCTCCTTTTTCACTTACGCTATGTCCTCGTAGGAACGACACCCTCGGAACGATATGAGGATATTCATACATCGCCACTACATGGTTTTTGCATCTGGCTAACATTAAATACCACGGTATTTATTAGAGGCTATGAAATTTTTCTATTGATATATAAAAGTCTAGTTCTAGGCACTGCAAATATTAATTCGCCCGCAAAGCGTGACGATAAAGACAAATCCGGAAAAATCGGGAGACACCAGTAAAATCTGAAGAGAGCAGTAAATTTCATGGGGATAAGAGGAAGTTGAGCTCCACCCTGAAGTTGTACTTGCAGCACGAATGGGCTTGACCAGAAAAGGTAGGAACGCTGTCGCTGTCATGCTGTTTTTTCGAATGGTGAATGATGAGAGCCAGGTGATTATATCACTGGTAACAAGACATTTTATCTTAGTCCTACGTGGTGACAAACGTATCTGAAATGTAAAATGTAATTTAAAAGGTTGACTATACGTACGTTTGTGACTCTAAATAATAAAAAAGCTAATTTCGTGCTATTTCACAATTTACGATGACAGCTAGATCACAGGTAAAATATAATTTAAATGCAACATACATATTATTATGTAACAAAATACACTTAGAAGAATAAATGGCTTTAACAAGTTTTGGCGGGTGCTTGACCGGACTGCTGGTCGATTGTATGTATTAAATGTTTGTGCTTTGTGCATATGTACTATTATGGGAAGCGAGGAAACAAGTGATCTGATGGTGACATGAACCTCAAGATGTGCCTTAGGTGCCTTAAGATACTATTGCTATCAACTGTCTGCTAGCTCAAGCTGCCGTCAATGTCTGCCAAAAACTTCGCAATATGACGTTGTGTGTGAATTATATTTCAAAAACAATTTCTTATGCAACAGCCAAAACCATATCAATATTAAAATATTTTGCAGCTTTACCCTTTCCATAACATCGTTAGTACTTCGCGGCGGCGTAGGCGACAACGCACGCCCCGGCGATTGCGACTTGCCGCGCTGCAAAATTGTATACAAAACACAATTAGTTTTGCCAAAAAAATCTTAATTAATCGACATAAAAAAATAAAAAAAGGCTAACCAAATTCGTACCATAATGTTTTTTTTAAATAATAATTCTTTATTGAAATGGGTAGAAACCTGAGTCTCCTAGCTAGGTTACTGAGTAACCTGTATTTAGGAGATAGTCCCACACCCACATGTTACGAGCTTAGAGTTCGTGACAGTAAAAACTGCCGATAGAATTACCAAAATTGACACTTAAATTAGAACAACAATTAAAACTTTAAAGCACACTAATAATTATTTACACTTAACACTTTCGTTCAATTTATTTCACTCCGAAAGCTTCGCTCGTATCGCTAATTCAGTACTGCCCCGATCGCGGATTGCAAAGGCTTTTATAGGCCTTTTCCACCGAAACATCCAGAATATTCCAGCAAATACCTGCCCCGACCGACCAGGTGCAGAAAGTTCGAGTGTGGGGCTTTCTAGAAAGCTTAGTTCTTCTATTTGACACTAGATGCCGCTGCTGGTGTAAAGTTCAGGCATGGAATTTTCTAGAAAGCTCTCCTCGCTCTGTTCCTCGACACTAGATGGCGCTAGTGCCAGGTACCAGACATCAACTTAGGCGCGCAGCAATAATTTATCATAAATACTGAAGCTATTCTTAACCATAGTGTGTTAATTTGCATACTATTAGAATTTAATAACTTTATTCATATTCTTTTAAAGCGACAGTAGACTACTGGCAGGGTACGAACCGAAAACTCAAAGAAAGGTTGCGGCTTCGACTACTGTCTTGAACCACTCCTAACACAAGCATTTAAGCTTACCAGGAGTGGTTAACAGGAATATTAGTAACATAAATAACATTGCTAGTATTTTAAAAAAAACTATACGTGTCATGTATTTTTATAATTTATATTATGGTATATTCTGTATGAGATTTCTTATAAAGGTATGATTATGCTAGGTAGAATGATTGTTTACTTTGATACTGCTCCAGCCATAGCTTAACCGCAAACCAAGCAGCAACTGCTTAGCTGATAAAGAATGCAATTTTCGTATTAAGTTCGTTTATGTACTAAAATATTTTTGTCTAACAAAGAGTTTTCTATATATGTAATTAAAAAGAAATTGTACTGTTTTTCATATGTGTAAAACTTATTAAACATGTAGCAGAAACCGAAAAATACGTTTCAAATGAATTAATGAAAACTTTCCATCAACACTAAATTTGTCTGAAGTAATAGAGAACAACTTAATGACACTATAGGAAGTTTAATGTTACTAATATTGCGTGATTGAATAAACAAAATGGTGGATTTTTAGAGCAAATACTCGTAAAATTTAAAAACACCACTTTTATTCCTGTGAGAATACTGTAATACGTATTAACCCTTACCTTATCATGTTCTTTGGATGGCTTTGGTTTTCTATGCAGCGGCGGTTTGCCGTCACCGGGGGCAGTCACTGGTGCTGTAGACCAAGTATAACAGTAACTAAACCGCACTGAAAATGTAGAACACCACAGCAACCTCGAACCCATAGACGTAAATATATCTAATACCCTTCAAGCAGGGAAGCCTGATGCATGGGACAAAAAACCACAAATTTGGCAATCGATAATAAATGATAAAAGCTACTTTAATGTTCTTACAAATGGATTCTAAGTGGAAATGAATTAATTTATAACATAATGGTCAAAATATTAAATGAAAAAAATTAGCACAAATAAAAAAAATCATTATTAAATCTTGGCCCATAGGCATAAGCCTTTCCAGATTTATGGGAAATTAGCTTCTAGGCCTGGTGTAAACGAGATTGTTATGGCGACATCTACCGGAAATATTAAGATTTTCTCCCATTTCTCAAAGTAGCCTCCTACGATTTCTATGGTACGAAATGGGAATACGGATTATTTTATGTGCAACCATACGGTGGTGCTTTATAAGATCATGTTTCAATTTCCAAGGTTAAATAAAGAAGATTTTAAAATAATCTCTCATTATTTTTGCTTAATGATAGATGGCTCGTATGCTTACTATTAAATAAATGATTTAAAAACAACAAACTGAAATATGTGCAATCTTTACTAAGTTGAAAAGTACAAGGTGCATTCTTATGCTATAAGCGTTTGGGTTCGATTCGCTCATGGAAGAAGTAGTTTATGACTTGTTCTTTTTTATTTGAATTCTTAATGAGAGATTTTTGGTTTTTTAGATTGGTTTTAATGTTATAAAAAAGTATTTTCAGTCATATTTCTCCAACATTACTCGTGATAATACTAGAAAAATACAAAGTGAATTACGCCACCTGAATGCTGTAATTTCGACCATGCCGTCTTTCTCCTTTCTAAAGGGCCAGCAACGCACCTTCAATTCCCCTGGTGTTGCGGTTGTTCATGGACTGCGGTAGTCACTTAAAATCAGGTGAACCGTAAGCTCGTTTGTCCTCTCTTCTATAAAAAAAATATCCTTTTCGCAAACTCTGCTAGCGGTGGCTTCTATAATAGAGCCCATAGTGCACTACTTATATAAGATTACCACCGAATAAAAACCGGACAAAATATAAACTGCAATAGCAATTAAAATAATTAGGCGTTGCTCTAACACTCGTTATATTGAAGGTGATAAAATGTTACTATCCTATGTAAAAAATAAACGATTTCAAAAAGTAAGGGTGAGCATTCAGCTTCAAGTGGATGCCGTGACCCTAATGAAATGCAGATGTGTACTCACGCCAGAGCTTTAAGGGGATTATTTTTTCCAGTGGAATTAGTAGGTTGCATTCATTACCAGTCAACCAAGAGTAAAGCACAAAATAATGGGTATGCGTGGCGTGGTATTCAATAAGTTTAAATAAATACCTTTTAACCCCTCATTCCCCTAGCGGTCTCATGAGACCGCAGCCATATTCCTTCAAATCCTTAGCGGTCTCATGAGGTCGCACCCACCCACAGCACTTTAACCCATAAAACTTATATATAGAGACTACTTTTCTATGAAGAAGTTTGGCATTACATGATTAATATGAAATTTTCTATCCTCTAGTGTAATAAAAAAACTGTTATTTTATGTTTGTTTATTTATAATCTACGTTCATTTCGTACGCCATTTTCGCGTGAATGTTGTTGTGTTGAGTTTTGGATTTTTCTAGTGTTTGATTAGTGTTTTAGTTTAGTGTTTTATTATAAAATTGTAATGAAAGTTTTCGTGTGAATATACTTTACCTTTTTACGTAAATAATTTCGAGTAATATACACTGAAATAATTGTGATTTTCACGCTGCCGACATTCGCTTGGTATGTTTTTTTTTTTTTGTTATATAAATACAATAAAATCTTTTTGTAATGAAGTAAAACCTGACTTTTGTTTATCACAGGAGAGAGAATTTTGTATAGATTTTATAATACCAAACTTCTTCATAGAAAAGTAGTCTCTAAATATAAGTTTTAATGGTTTTAAGTGCTGTGGGTGGGTGCGGTCGTATGCGACCGCTGGGGATTTGTCGGATCATGCGATTGCATAGGATTTGTATTGCGCTTGAAGGGTGTTAAATATATAGCATTAGCTAGAATCTATAATTTTACCATTTCACTTTTAGAATTGGAATGGGTGAGAATGAAATGCATTCCAACCCATTCCAATTCTACTGCTAAACATGGGCCTAATCCATATATTACCACATAGGGGGGATATAAGCCATAAATAACACTTCTGACAGGCGCATGACAACCGCAATTTAAGAAGATGCTGCTGCCTATCTCCTGTTTCAGTTGCAGGCTCTTGTAACGTCCACGGGATAATATGAGGTGGTGTTATTGCTGCTACGACATGAGGAAGCGTTTATTTTCGTACGCTGATCTTAGAAAACCAACTTCTTTTCCCACTTTGGTTGCAATTTTAGTTTAAACAGTGTCTCACCAGGCCGTGGCGAGGTGTGCAGTGATAGCGGGCGTGGTTTTCGAGCGGTTGTGGGCCGACGTGGCACATCCACCACCACCGTGGTAGCATCGCGTGACACTGAGGGCGTTGTCGCGATACTGTTCACACCTGTGTCTACGCCACCTGTTATCAAATAGCAGCTATTAAACAAAACTTCTGTATATGCACATGAAGAAAGTATATGCACGTGAACTTTACACGAACATAGCCAAAAAACACAATGTCGAATAGTTTATAATATATATATATATATATATATATATATATATATATATATATATATATATATATATATATATATATATATAATAGAAATATAAAAGAAGAAACAAAGTAGAGGCACTCTGACGTTGACAAAACAAATAGGTTCAGTATGAGCAGCGGGAATCCGTTGCGTTGAATTTCTTTGCTGTCCACGCACGTTTGAAGCTGCTTTCCGACACCAGTGAGGGTATTTTACATGTTAGATACAACTACCTATCACGTTTCATCACGCACGTTTGTCGCAAACAATTGCTTTCTCTAAGCATTTAATTGTTTGTTGTTACACAATCAGCAATCCCTGCAAAAACCACTGATATAATAGTTCTAGTAATAACAATAGTTCGTAATATAATATAAGTTAATCTGCTAATTTGTGAAATATGTAAATACGAGACGAGTAACTATATTTACACTTATGAAAGTTATGAATTTATAACAATAGAAAACAAGTAATTAAAAACTGAAGCATCTTTTACATACATGCATTTTATATGGACATTTTTGAACATTGAATTACGACGGTAATTATTTATAAAATTGAATTATATACAAAAAGCAAAGCGCGTTGTTAAAAGCTAATGAATGAACAATGATCGTTTACAATAATTACATTTTGGGTTACTCCAAATCGTATATAAAAATAAAACTTAAAGAAGTGATCAATCCAATATAGACCTAAAACCCAGACTATAGAGCGTAAATTTGAAAATTCCACTTTAAGGCAATACAGTAAAGCACAGTTTACCTCGTGGCGTGTTAACCCCGGTGCCGGCGATTGAAGCTGGGCGCGGCTTTCTCGGCGCAGAGGTGGCCCGTCTGACGACTCCCGCGTTGGACAGCGCACTGCCCGGCCTCGAACCCGGGGTCGTCTCGCCCGAACGTGTCTCTGTGTACATCGCCACTTGTGTCTCATACTGGCCGAACTTTCGACCGCGGTTCGAGCACATTTATCAAGTTATGAAAAGCATGGATCGTGATCTAATGACGGTGATGTTATTCTCTTTCACAAATACAACAACAACTCTTTCTATTTTAATTCTATAAAACGAATACAAGCAGTAACTAAAGCTCGTTCGTCTTAAACAATCGACGCGATGTCAAATGTAACTCCAAGTGCTAAAATTGTGAAGTAGGTTTGGAATGACGAAGATACATCTTGTGGAAAGCTTCGAGGTAGGTCTATGTTTAGTAGAATACTTGTGATGGGTTGCAATGATGTGATGACATTGGTAAGAAGCTAAACACTGTTTAATCAGTTTCTTGGGCACTTATAATACAAGCAGTGATTATGATGCGAACAGCTTTATCTTACAAACATAACGTTAGTATGTGTGCATTGCAGTCTTAGTTTCTCATGATTCTACATGAAAAACGTCTCAACGTTTACAGGGACAATGGTGAAAAAGTGAAAGGTGGCTTTGCCTCGTCTTACATCCCATCCGAATATCCTATTTGTCGCCTTTTACGAAATGTTGCGCAAGTGGTACTTGCTTTTGGCATATCCCTTTTTGGTGAGTCCAATATATCTCCCAGACCAACATGCGACTTTTCACGGTTCTCTGTATTAGTAAATTTTTACTTTTAGTGTTATTCTGGTGATTGGTTACCGCAACCAAGTCCAAAAGAAAAAGGTCATAAGTGCATTGTCAACCCTGAGGAGATAATTTATATCCTGTAGTAATGCTGACTTATAACTCCCATCAAACCGAAACACAGTAGTAGGTAAGCACAAAAGGTAAAATGGTAACTCACCCAGATGGACTCCTAGCATTTACTTTTGTGGTTTTTGCTTGTTTTATTTTTTTGGATATATGGATGTTTTTATGCGACTTTAAATTTGAATGAAGGAATAAATATACTTTTAAAGTACACTAATTTGTTGAGAATTGTGAATAAACTGTTAAGGAATGTGTAATAAATGATGTACTAGCCGAAGTGAAATGAGTATAGTCTCAATCATACAGTATTAAATGGATACTTCAACATTTAAGTTAGTTGTAGCATTTGATGTAAATATTACGTTACATATGATGAGAAAAGTGGAATTAATAATTGAAATAAGTCAATAAATTAATATGGGATGAGCTTATAATTAAATTAGTATTACCACTCACCTTTATAACGCAGAGAGTCAACTACACAAGAGATAGAGTTTGAAGATTTAAGAGAAGTATACGAAAATCCATCAATTATCAGTTCCTTTTTTATTATTTGACAAAGAAGAAGTCTCTTGAACTGAACAAATCGTATTAGTATGCAAATTATAATCTTAGTGATTATTAGCATATAATTGGTAAACCATAAACCTTTTTTTATTTATGTAACCCTAAGATATTATATATAGCACACTTCTCCTAAAATCTAAGTATCTGGTAAAATTGAAGAGAAAACAACACATTTTATAGCAGACTTTTGACATTAATAGATTCATCAGATCATAGATATCAATCATGATATCCACAATTCGCGGCAAGAACAGAAACAAATCGCAGTCGAAGATTATACCTCCTTTTTTGATGAACGTAATGAAATTTAATTAATTTAAAAAATGCATATGTTGTAATGCACATGTCGAGATACAATGATAAATCTTTATCATGAATAGAACGACTCTTCTTGTCGGAAACACTACAATTGTAACAAAAGTTATTACATTATATTTTAATATGAAATGTACAGGTATAAAAGATTTAATGAAAAACCTTTATCAAAGTATTCTTTCACAAAGAATGTATCATTGGAAAATCTCACTGTCTAATAATTAGGGATGGGCCGAATATGGATTTCACCGAACCGAATATTCGGCCGAATATTATTCGGCAGGATAACCTCGGGACTTAACCAATTTATGTCGACTAGTTACCGTAAAGCACACGGGATTAGCGCCGGACCCTGCACCTCGCTCCCCGCCACACCTGACATGTTATTGCATTATCTAGTACTGAGCAAATTGCCGGCACATGCTTATGTTTTGACTATTCTTGTGATAAAAAAAGTATTTCGTTGTTTTATTCTTAATTAAAGTTATAGCCTATATACGTCCCACTCTTGGTCACAGGCCTCCGCTCATTTCTGAGAGGGTTATAGGGCAAGGAATTGTCCACCGCACTGCCCCAATATGCTTGTTGGCGAATTATACATGTCTTCGAAATATTTTTTTCTTATTTCTCAGACATGCAGGTTTCCTCACGATGTTTTCAAAATTTTTGTAAATCAGCACTTAAAATTGCAATTAATAATTTCATTGGTGCCAGCGAGGATCGAACTCGGTTTGGTCGTGCACTGTGAAATTTACAGCGAGCGCTAACCATCTGAGCTACCATGGCTCTTTATTCTTAGTGAATAAGGTAAAGAGCCGTAAGAATTTTATTCTTAGTGAAAATTGATAATTATATGATAAAAATGAGCGGCAGGAGATTTACTATTTGGACTTATTTTAGAGAAACTGATGACAAAGTAAAGTGAAATGTACTAATGTAATTTAATGTTTCTTTGTTTGATTCCAAAAACATTTTATCAAGTTTCTATTTGCCATAATCGGAAATAAATCCACAGTGCCTCAAAAACATAAATGTATAGATTTATGCATTTGAGGCACACTTAGAATAGGTAGATTTAGATTTAATCCATAAATAAAATATACTTTCAACAGTAAAGTATATCGCATTACTTAATTCGTACATTTCAATACATTGGACACTATGAAAATGTTCGGTTCGAATGTTCGGTGATTTAGCCGAATACGAATATTCGGTAAACCTGCCGAATATGCCGAATACCGAATATAAAACGAATATTCGGCCCATCTATATTAATAATAAAATACTACTTACACTGCTTAAAATAGACTAAATATAATCACACAAAACTGGTGCATAATACTAATTCTAAGGGTATAAACGTTCATTTCACCTTTACTTTCATAAAAGGAACTAAATCATATTTAGCTCTTTGACTTAGAAGCAAAGCATTAATCAACCCCAAGCGAAACTATCCGCTTAGTCAAACAAGCTTCCCAATTTCTTCAGATTTACTAATTTGACAAATTACGATATACATTCAATGAAATTAAAAAGAAAATGCCGCGTCATTACCGGTTGTGGTCCAAGTGTTAAAAATCGTAAAGGCAATACGATCCAAGCAAACATGGAAATGAGGAACCCTAAGCCCGTATTGAGGTGCAATTGTGTTAAGATTGCAGAATGTTTTTTTTTTATAGAAGACGGGGCAAACGAGCATGCGGCTCACCTGATGTTAAGTGACTACCGCCGCCCATGATCAACCGCAACACCAGAGGAATTGCAGGTGCGTTGCCGGCCCTTTAGAAAGGAGTAAGCTCTTTTCTTGAAGGTCGTATCGGTTCGGAAAAATCGCTGGTGGTAAACTATTCCACAGAGAGGTTGTACGCGGAAGAAAACTCCTCTTGAAAGGTACAGTGGTGAACCGCCAAGCATCCAGATGGTGTGGATGGTATCGGGACGTTTGCCGCGTAGTGCGTTCACGAAATTTGGCGGCTGAGATTAATCTGAACAATTCCTCAGAGCACTCTCTATGGTATATGCGAAAGAAAATGCAAAGAGATGCAACATCTCTTCGCAGTGCCAGTGAAACGAGCCGATCGGAAAGCACTCGGTCGTCGACGATTCGAGCCGCTTTGCGCTGGATGTGGTCAAGTGGAAGGAGCTGGTACTGGGGAGCCCCAGCTCAGAGGTAGGAACAGTATTCCATGTGCGGCCGAACCTGCGCCTTGTAAAGATGCAGGCGGTGTTCCGGCATGAAATACTGTCCCGCTCTGCTGAGCACGCCAAGCTTTTTTAGAGGCCAATTTGGCCTTCTCTTCCAAGTGACCACGAAACTGCACGTCACTCGATATGTCGACGCCGAGGATTCCGGTACTGGCTGAGGCAACAAGAGGAGTGCCTTGAAACTGAGGAGATACTACGAAGGGAATCTTTTTAGCGGTAAACGCGCTAACTTTTGTCTTTTGGGGATTGAACTGGACTAGATTTAGTCGCCCTCATTCCGAGACTTTGTTCAACAAAGTCTCTACTTCAGACACAAGTTTGTCCCGGCACTCGGAGACGTTTCCCCGATAAATATTGGCTCGGCCGGTGTAAAGAGCATCACCAGTGCTGTCATCTGTATAGCAATGAATGTTACGGGTTTGCAACATATCATTGATATTCAGAAGAAACAGCGTTGGCGATAGCACGCAGCCTTGTGGAACACCAGCATTAATAGGCTTGCAATCGGAGCTTGCACCGTCTACAACGACCTTGATGCCCCGATTTGCAAGAAAGCTGGTGATCCAATCGCACAATTTCTCGGGAAGCCCATAGGAAGGGAGCTTCGAAAGAAGCGCTTTGTGCCAAACCCGATCGAAGGCCTTCGCAATGTCCAAACTAACGGCCAATGCCTTCCCCTTGGACTCTACTGCCTCCGCCCATCTGTGAGTTAGGTAGACCAGAAGATCACCAGCTGACCGACCACGGCGAAAACCGTATTGGCGGTCACTAATCAGCTGTTGATACTCAAGGTACCTCATGAGCTGGCAGTTTACAATGGACTCCATTGTTTTGGAGAACAAGGAGGTGATGGCGATAGGCCGGTAGTTGGACGGGTCTGAGCGGTCTCCTTTTTTAGGGATCGGGTGGACGAAAGCCGTCTTCCATGATTTTGGGACTACGCCTAGGGAGTAGGAGTACCGGAAAAGACGCGTTAAAACCGGCGCCAACTCAGGAGCACACGTCCTCAGCACAATTGGGGGGATTCCGTCAGGCCCACTCGACTTGTGGATGTCCAGGGAGAGGAGTGCTTTGCGAACCGAGCGCTGTGTGAACTGCACTTCCGGCATGGAGCACTCACACCGCGGGATGGTCGGCGGCGTACTCTCCCCGTCATCGAGGGTCGAGTTGGACGCAAAGATAGAGCCTAGAAGATCGGCTTTCTCTTTTGCGGTATGGGCCAGTGAGTCGTCCTCCCTGTGCAGAGATGGAAGAGATGGCTGACAGAAATTTCCCTAGACAGCCTTGGCGAGAGACCAGAATGCACGGGTTCCAGAAGGAAGGTGAACTAGTTTCTCGCCAATTCTGCCTATGTGCTCTGACTTTGCCTTGGCAATGACTCTTTTGAAGGACCTAGAGGCGGAATTATACTTCTTTTTTAGAGCGCTGGTGTTTACATTCCGTGACGCTGATGCGTCAGCCCAGAATTGGTAGCACTCCTGCTTATAGCATTGAGCTTGACGGCCAACTACAAAGACCAATAAACTCCTGTCCTAATAATAAACTACAGAGGAAAAAAGCTCACAAAAAGGCAAAACGGAGGATAAATGGAATATTTCAATATGATTTTTATGGATTTTATAAATGTTAAACATTTGAAGAAGTACACAAGCTCCGAACTATGATTAGAATAAAGGGCGGTGTCATATGGAAACAACAATACGAATATATCAAAATTGATCAGCACTATAGCTCATGACCAGATAGCAACATTCATTTCTAAAAGTTGACTGAACAAAACATTTTAGTCACTTCAGCCCAAGCGCCAAACGGATCGATAGCATCATTAACCCCAGTTTTTAGCAATCACACCCGCACAAACCCAACAGCGCCAAGCGTAACCCGTCCACAGCGTGAAGCGGCACACGAGGGCACGCTGCAATGTACTCACGGGTCCTGTTGAGGTGGTGCATGGAGGGCGACGACGAGGGGGTGAGGTGCGGGCGGGGCAGCTTGTCCAGCCGCGTCATCGAGTAGGCCCTACCTGGCGCGCGGGGGGCCGGCAGCGTCGGCACCAGGTCCGTGCGGCGCCGAGCCACCGACGACCACACCACGGTCGCCTGGCGGTCGGGTTCGTCTGCGGGTTGCGGGATTCCATTTTATTCGCTTAGCTTACAATGGGGCAAACAATCTTCCGCTCGCCTTCTACGGACGGACTAATATGAACTTAATTATTAGGAAGATGGTAACAGTGTCATCATCATGGAAAGTTTTTGACGTGAATACGTATTTAAAGAGCCGTGGTAGCTCAGATGGTTAACGCTCGCTGTAAATATAACAGAACGCGAGTAACCCGGGTTCGATCCCCACCGGCACGAATGAAATTGTTAATTGCAATTTTAAGTGCTGATTTACCACGTGCTCGGCGGTGAAAGAAAACATCGTGAGGAAACCTGCATGTCTGAGGAATAAGAAAAAAATATTTCACGCATTGGGGTAGCGCGGCGGACACATCCTAGCCCTAAAACCCTCTCAGAAATGTGGGGAGGCCTGTGCCCAGCAGTGGGACGTATATGTCTGTAACTTTGCTTTACTTTACTTTAAGTATTTAAATGTTCTTCCATAGTGGGAAGCAATTCAGAAGATCGGTGATAACTAAATCGTGAGAAACAGTTTAGTGTTGCAGCTACCTATCAATCATCTACATATAAAATTTAATTACACCAATCGATAGCTAAAGGGCCAAGGAATTTGTTACATAGAGTGAGGAGTGTTACGAATTGGGCGTAGCGGAGGAGAGAGCGTATTCAAAACACAGCAGCATCGAGCTGCTATTTTACGCTGGTGTTCTGCGAGAACGTGGTATTTCCCCAATCAAGCCGACCCTTTTCTGCTACAACCATAATATAGCTGCAGGATGGCTCTACCAGGTGTAAAATTACAATTCGAACAGTGGAGGGCTAGAGTAACTTTCATTAAAGCCTATATGAGTCCCCTGCTTGGCTGTGAAGCATTTCTTCTTAGTTCTCAGGGGTGACAACGCATCTACGCCTTCATTGTTTGAAGTTGACTGCAGGTCTCCATTAACTGCAGTAGTAACTTAGGTAGGTTAACTATGAGTTCATTTGTCACTTTATATTTTATATAAAATAATAAAACCCGACCCTGTCAACCCTGTAAGTGACTATTAAAAATTTTATACTTATCTTCAAAACTTTCACAACTACCCTACTGATTGTGTAAGACGCCAAATTATTGTAACACAATACACTATACCATACCACATATATAACTCGTACACTCGTTGCATATGATCATAAAGATACACATCACATATGGGTCAACTAGCCCTTCAATCTCTAAGCGGTCGAATTCGACCGCGGCGCTATTCCGTCAAAATTTAAGCGGTCGGATTTGACCGCGCACACTCACAGAACTTTACACCATTAAAACTTATATTTAGAGACTACTTTTCTATGAAGAAGTTTGGCATAATAGAATTAATATGAAATTTTCTATACTCTAGTGCAATAAAAAACAGTTATACTATGGATATTTATTTATAATCTACGTTCATTTCGTACGCCAATATCCCGTGAATGTTATTGCGTTGATTTTCGGATTTTTCTAGAGTTTTATTAGTGTTTTAGTATAGTGTTTTATTATAAAATTGTCATGAAAGTTTTTGTGTGAATATAATTTATCTTTTTACGTCAATAATTTCGAGTAATATATATTAAAATAATTGTGATTTTCACGCTGCCGACATTCCCTTGGTATATTTTGATTTTGTTATCAAAATACAATAGTCTTTTTGTAATGAAGTACAGCCTGACTTTTATATAAAGAATTTTGTATAGATTTCATAATGCCAAACTTCTTCATAGAAAAGTAATCTCTAAATATAAATTTTAATGGTTTAAAGAGCTGTAGGTGGGTGCGGTCGCATGGGACCGCTCGGGATTTGACGGACGCACGCGACCGCATGGGAATTTTAAGGGAACTGAGGGGCTAGTACAGGATGCTTTAAGGCAATAATTTCCGACCTTTGTATTAATTTTTACCAATATAGTAACGCAATATTTTGCCCCTGATGTTAGTACGGCCGTTCTTCGAAATTCATTTATCAGTTCTCAAATAGAGCAAGTGAGAAAATTGCTAAGAGATTTTATTATTCTAACCTACTACAGCGGAAAAAATAGAAAACTAACAAATCCCGAAAAACTCGAAGCAATAACAAACCTTTTACCCTAAATTTCAACGCTATTTTCTTTTATACTTGAAAAGTCGATATTTTGCACACTTGGTAACTAGCTTAGCGTACATTTTGATGCACATAGAATAAACATACTTTATCGCGAGCATATAAGAGCGATATTCGTTTATCACTCGCACTAGATCTGCAGTGAAGATGGTACAAATTCCATGCAAGGTCAAAGGCAAGATTACTATTCTAATGAAGCGTGTTTACTTGCTCATTGTTTGAGAGGCTTTAAGTAATGGCTCTCGGCCTGTTTGAATAGATGATTATAGAATGACAACATTACCCGAATAAGTGACTTCATTAACATTTACAAAATCCGTAATTAAACTTGTAAAGTTTTATGATAAGGGCAGTAAATTTTCATAAATTTTTTTACACGTCATGAATAACATAAATGCTTTTATTGTGATAAGTGCCACTTATTTTAGAATATTTACAAATTGTCCAGATTATTCATGCTGGCCAGAAAAATTAAAAAGTCTTACGTAAAAATTAAGCTTATCGTGAGGTTAGGCACTCAGGACTAGCTAGGCCAGTGTCAAGGTACTGTAACAGACAAGCCTTGGTGTGTGTCCTGATTGTGTCGACTTATACACTGTTCATTTTTGCATGAGATTTTGTGTCAACAAACCACAAAATGGGTTTTAATAATTACTTAACTGCATCTTTTTGAGTGATGATTTAAACACATTTTCGAATACAAAATATTTAAAAGTATGTGTAATTTATGTGTTCATACAATAATCTATGTTTATACAATATGTAACCTTTTTGTAATATCACAGACACAATCTTAGAGCAATTTGTTCTAAGTACTGGCGTCGAAAATGTTTGAGAATTTTTTTTACTTTACGAAAAACTGCATGTCAAAGTGTACAGGATATTGGTAACATACAGTAATATATTTTAATACATATAATAAACGTAACAATCCAAAGGTATGAGATAACTACAACATCGAGGTGTATGGACCTCTCAGTGCACTTCATACTGTGCCTGTCGCCATTTTGTGCAGTCACAACATTTTAAAACGACAGACAAAGTAATTAGGGACAACATATAAACATGCAGTGTGATTTTAACGGGACACTACACAATTAGAGGATGCACAAACAAATCCACAAGCATACCGAACTATTAACTACGATAGTCAACATAAACCCTAATTATCTCAAAATAAGTACTTACAATAACTTGTGAACATCAGTCCTTAGCAGCATTAGAAAATTGGTATTCATTATTTATGTGTAAATTACAAAAGAAAAGCCTACGATAATAATTACATAAAACTGGATAAGCGAGAGTTCAAGGGAGCACAATCTCATTCCCGCTTATAGAGGTTTCTCACTGACCCGAGTTTCTCGCTAATGCAGGTAACATGGTTAGCGTTTCTCTCTTATAGAGGTACGCAGCAATAACAAGTCACAGCAAGTACGAATGTAGTAAATATGTATGTAATATGATAAAATTAGGTGAATAATATGCACAACATATATTATGTACATATATATTTTTAATAGTGTGTATATGTTACGTTCATTAGATTTCGACATATAAGTACTTTATAAGGGTCAATCAAGTTGCTTACGAAAACAAAACAAAAATTCATGCACTACGTAATTTTATTTTATTTAGAACTTATTTACACTTAAAGTTAAAGAAAGTTAAGAATCAGTCATAAAATAGCAGATGTTAAATTTGTAATTTGTTTTGTCATTTGTTACTGTATGTGTGTATCTTTTATGTATGTATGTATTTTTATTGTAGCTATAGTTACTCCTAAATAATATAAATAAATAAAGCTCGACTGCAGCTTATAGATAAGTAGCAGTCTCACTTACGGAGGTCCGTGAGGGAAAAACGACTCTCTCTTACAGAGGTTTTTGTTTCTCGCTAATAGAGGTTTTGGGAGCTTAAAATGACGGGTCCTGGCTATTACTCTCACTTATAGAGTTTTCTCACTTATCCAGTTCTCACTTACCCAGGTTTGATTTTTACATACAGTAGGCTCATTCCCCGGTATGAGTGGCATTCCAAGAGTGCATTCAATGCCGTGGATGAACTACTCATTACGCTACTCCGGTGTGGATTGTTGGACAGACTTTACCTGACCTCGAATATTTTGTTTCACAGACTTTCTCAAAATACATTCCTTCAATGGGTCCACAGATTCGAAACCTGCACGTAACAAGTGGCCTAGAAATAATTGTTATTGACGTTTGTCCATGTACAATTTATGTATGTGTCTTATGCCATAAAACAAAGTAACAAATCAGCCATAAGCTGCAATATAAGCACACTTTTTTATAATATTACGTCCTAAATATGGCATTATATATCGACTTAATCATTGTAAGCAGCAGCTTAGCAATGAGTTGCCGCGCTTTGGACCGCGGATTCGAATCTCGCACGGAACAAGTATTTGCCTACAAATAATTGTTCCAGGTCTGAATGTTGTCCTTGTGGAATTTATGTATATAAACTGCCTGCACGATACAGAAGGAACTCCTTGTTTATGATAGTGTGTAATCCTAGTAACGTTTATGAAAAAATTTCTGTGGTAGATTTGCTTATTGTTTATTCTATTCCACATTCGAAACCCCAGTGAAAAGAGATCGATTTAACAAAACTAAAGAAGTAGTAAGTTATTTATTCTATAAGCATTTAAGAAAAGGAACGGGTGTATTTTGCGTTACAGAAACAACACTAGTAACTTCCTTTTTTCTCATATTATTTACTTTACGTTTCCGCGAAAATAAATTGAAATTTTCATTAAGTGAATACGTCATAAAATGTCAATATACCTTTAGTGTCAGTGTCAGACGTGTCGAGTTGTAGTGCAGAAGCTCTCCTTGTGAGCGGCGCAGACGCGAACATCACATTCGTGGTTGATGCAGCCCTGGAAAACGTGCAATCAATTTTTTAATGATATGTATGGAAAATAGTGTCAATAAATGTTAGTCACATTCCCAAATCATCGAGCTAATTTGTTTACGGTAAAAGGATATTATTGGATATAAGTTAAATAATATGTTAATTATTAATCACAGAGGTATAACACAAGTTGTTAATTACAAAATATAATATTGTTACAGTGACCCTAACCCTAAGTGTTAGCGCAAATGATCGAGCGAAGTTATGTACGGTTTACGTTAGAAGAATATTAGATAAAAGTTAAATATTACATTGATCATTAATCACAGAAGTATAACAGCCTGGCCACGGGACATTCGCCGTAGCGAAAATTCGCGCGGCGCGAACGGCGAGGCGTCTGGCGACTAAAACAAATGTGTAGAAATGTATGGAGCAAGCCACGCGTAGCGGCGAGTGGCGACGCGACCGGCGAAATTTACCGGGCGCTAATATTAGTTTTTCGCCTCCGGGCTGACAAAATTTAAATTCCATCCGCATTGAATTTTATCTCTAATTCTGGTTGAATATTAACAAGAATATAATCGCAGGTTTCAACACTCATTCTGGTATTTACTCGAAATTTTTTCTAGATGCATTCTATTTGTTGTGGAATTCTCCATCTATAACCCGATTCTTATTCAAATCAAGTACTCCGCAATCGCATCCAAATATTGTGTCTTGAATCAAAAAACAATTACTTTCTAAGCAATATCAAGATAACTTTGATAAAGACATTTCACTCTCGGTCTATCTGGTCGCGGCGGCAAACGTGACTTCCCGTGGCCCTCAAATCGCGCCGCGCGAATTTTCGCCCCGCCTGTCGCTTCGCCGTTCGCGCCGCCGATCCCCGTGGCCAGGCCGTAACACAAGTTGTTAATTGCACAGAATATATTGTTACAGCAACCTTAAGTGTTAGCGCAAATCATCGAGCGAAGTTATGTACGGTTTACGTTAGAAGAATATTAGATAAACGTTAAATATTATATTGATCATGAGTCGCAGCAGTATCACCCATCATGTCACTACTCAAGTAGTCAAATGCATGGAATATATTGATGTAGTAACCCCAAGTGTTAGTGCAAGCACAGAGTAACTCTTCACCTTCCTCTATAACCACATAAGAAAGTTCTGTAATGATGCACAGGATGTAAATGGGCAATGTTTTAATTTAAAAAAAAGTTGAATAAAACTATTATTTACGGATTTTATCGCGTTTAATTACTTTAATTTATTTTTATTATTATCCCGACGTTTCGGGTGCTTTACAGCGCCCATGGTCACGGGGGGGACTGAGATGTTTGACGTCCCAATGTCATAGTTAGTCCGTAAAGCACCCGAAACGTCGGGATAATAATAAAAATAAATTAAAGTAATTAAACGCGATAAAATCCGTAAATAATAGTTTTATTCAATGTGTAGTGTTCGCGTAAATTTAAGAAATCATTATTAAAAAAAAGTTACTGAAAACAAAAAGGAGAATAGTTTGCTTCAGCGAACATTATTTTTCATTCCTACAAGAGGAGCTAGAAGTGGATTACGGAAGCCCTCTTGGCTACGCCGAATGTGTGAATCGATGAATCATAAGATGGATGAAGTACACAAGATGATGTTTGATATCGACAAGGGACGCCCTATATACAGTTTATCGACCAAATTGGCGATATATTGAACATGACATGGATCAAGTTTAGAGTACCCTTCACCGCCGAGTACATATGCATAGAAAAACAGTTTCTGCCTACCCCTCTGGGTGACGCCTGTAAGTTTATGTACGTAAGTCCTCCACGTGTGAATAGACAAATTGTAATACTAACATGTATGTATAAAATAATGAAATACATCCGATAAATTTAATAAAAGTTTTATCTCCAAACTGTTTCGAGCAAGCAAAACTGAATAAAGAAAAGGATATAAATTTATTCTATGGAAGTGTAATCAAACGCTATGAGAATAAAGTTGCATGGATGAAGATAATTTAGAAATACCAGAGAAATCGGATTTAAACAAGAAGTCCGAGAGTATGATATTGATTAGAATAAAAAAGGAGCGAGATCTTTTTGAAATACAAATAAAATAATAACATCACTAGGTTAGTAATAATTGTGAGTTAGACAGAGTGCTTTAAAATGTTAAAAGTTGTTAATTAAATAATTATAAACGAGGTGGAGCAAATATACACACTTTTACGAGATGAGTTTTAGTCAACCAATGCATATTTATCTAAAGATCGACCGGAAGCAAACCTAATAGGTCATACATTTGCAAGATTTAAAGCAGAAATAAAACATACTAGTGTACTTAATAACTAAAAATGGAAAAGCTGTAACTTGTATGCGGTAAGCGTAAACATTCATTAGATACACAAAGCATGCTATTTACTTTCGCATGACGAATAAGATAAATGCTAATTGCAAAAGCAAAATCTTACGGAATCAAGAAGATAGAGGATTATCTAACAAACGCTAAGCAAAGTTATGTGCGAGACATCTGTCTGGAATGCACCAGTGTCATACACCAGCTCCATTTATCCTTTCAAAACCATGGTTTTTCAAGGTAATAAAACCAACAAACATGCGACATAAATTATTTGTAGACTTAGAATTGGTCATGCTTAATGCTTATACCCTCTGATGATGGTTTGATAAGGGAACTACCAATTCTATTTTTAACGGTGCTAAATTATTTTGTTTACATCTTCATCGGCGATGATAACGCCCTCCAAACTTTAACTCGTTTTTAACCTACACAAACACTCCCTTTGTATATATTCTGGTTGATTTTGTTAACATCAATAGCATAAAACTTTAATGACTATCAATATTAAGATAAAATTGTAACTCTAACAACTGGGTTTTTCATTTTTTATAGGCAATTCAACAGCACAGTCATAAGAATAGTAAAATTTAAAGAAAAAACAAGGAAGATAAAATACTTGTACTATATTATCACAATCTTCCTATGAACATAGGCATTGTATTTGTGTCTGCGATCGATCAAAACCGCCATAAAAAGAAGGAGAAGAAATTACACAAGGTGAGCATGATGGTTATGCCAATCCACAACTCCAGGGAAGATATAAGTACCAGTAATTCTATTTCTTTCCATAACAATTTCTAATTTAAACATCAAGATGGCGCAGTTAATTCCCATGTAGTTTTACAAAGGTACGAAATAATATTATTTATTCTGTGATATAGGGTTGATATAGGCAGAGTTGGCACCGGTTTTATCGCATCTTTTCCGGTACTCCTACTCCCTAGGCGTAGTCCCGAAATCATGGAAGACGGCTCTCGTCCACCCGATCCCTAAAAAAAGGCTCCCCACTCCCGACCGCTCAGACCCGTCCAACTACCGGCCTATCGCCATCACCTCCTTGTTCTCCAAAACAATGGAGTCTATTGTTAACTGCCAGCTCATGAGGTACCTTGAGGATCACCAGCTGATTAGTGATCGCCAATACGGTTTCCTCCGTGGTCGATCGGCTAGTGATCCTCTGGTCTACCTAACTCATAGATGGGCAGAGGCAGTAGAGTCCAAGGGGGAGGCATTGGCTGTTAGTTTGGACATTGCGAAGGCCTTCTATCGAGTTTGGCACAAGGCGCTTCTTTCGAAGCTCCCTTCCTATGGGCTTCCCGAGAAATTGTGCGATTGGATCACCAGCTTTCTTGCAGATCGGAAGCATCAAGGTCGTTGTAGACGGTGCATTCTCCGATTACAAGCCTATTAATGCTGGTGTTCCACAAGGCTGCTTACTATCGCCAACGCTGTTTCTTCTGCATAATAATAAATAATAAAAAAACAAGTCCAATATACAATAAATTTTGGACGAGTAGATTAAGGACAAAAAGAACGTCATCAATCAGCTGTTGTAATAGAGGTAAATGTCTCCAATTTATGGATGACCTTAGGGATATGCAGTATTCGTTTTTTAGAGGATATTGTTTAATGCTGTAATAGAATGTAAATCCGTAATAAGCATTTGACTCCTCAATGGTTTCATCAACGGCTTTTTACCTATATTATAAAATATTAGAACTGGATCCTTTTATTCAGAACTTAAGGCCAACGTTTGACCACAAATCTATGTAATGGTAAGTAAAGTTGCGGTCGCAAATAATAAGTTAACTAACCTCGCAGAAACCTATTCACTGAAGCATTAGATATGCTAATGTTATATTGTTTCGAAAAGATTGAAATCCATTAGAGTTACACATCTAGCCCTTTCTTGGCATTCTCGCCGACTATTAGTTAACTGAGGTTGTCGTCAAACGGTTTTACTGATTACGTCGTCTTTTAAACTTATTTTCTACTAGTGGTTCCTCACGACTTTGTCCGCGTGAAATTTATAACGATTGGTTTTCATAGGTTTAAATTTTTTGCGCGGAACTCAATTTAAAAAAAATAAATAAAAGTAGCCTAAGTTACTCCATGCAACATCAGCTATCTGCCAGAGAAAGTCCCGTCAAAATCGGTCCAACCATTTCGGATTGTAGCCGGAACGGACAGACAGATAGAATTTTTTTTTAATTGTGTATCTGTTATTAGTATTATATATACTTTCATTTTGACATTACAAACAGACACTTCAATTTTAATTATTTTTATTGTTTCTCCTAATTTTTAGAGCTTTGCACTAAAAGACAATAAATATAATATGGTCACGTAAAGATAAGACTGTTTAATGCAAAAAATACTGTAATACATAATAGAATGGCTGTCAATCTTATTTTGTATGAATTTTGATCGGTGTCGCCGGAAGCACACATACAAGCAATTACGTTGTATTATCTATTACTACTACAAACCCGATTCGCTATGTTGACGGACTGAGCGAATTTACACATTTTAGACTTTTGATTAATATTTTGACACATCAATATTTCTTTATTTTTGTTTCTAATATTCACAAAATATAAATAGTTTCGATTTACTGGTTGTAGGATTTATTTATTTAAATTCAATTTCCCGCTGTTTTTTCGACACGTA